GGCAAGGAAGCTCAGCAGGGCAAAGAAACAACCAACCGTGCTACAACTGCAATCAAATGGGTCACTAGTCCAGAGAGTCCCCCTATCCTAAGAAAGGCAGTAATTAAAATTAGGGCAATCAGAAGCTGGCCAATGTTAAGGCACGCCCTGGGTATGTGCATTATACTGCAGTGGAGGACATCCTTATAGGTGAGGTTGTTAGTGCCGGTATGTTCCTTGTGAACCAACATCCTGCAATTGTTTTGTTTGATTCTAGAGCCTCGCATTTGTTCATGAGTCTGACATTTGCATCTAAGTATGATCAGATGATAATTGTTTTAGATAATTGTGGTTATTGCATAAGTTCAGCTGGGGCCAGTATCTCTACCAACCAGATAGCCAGAGATGAGCTCATCTCCATAAAAGAGAGGGAGTATACTACCGACCTCATAGTGTTGCTAGGGTTAGCAATAGATGTGATCTTGGGTATGAACTGGATGAGTGGTCATAGAGTTCTTATTGACACTACAACTAGAGCCATTATGTTGCGGGAACCAAAGGGGGTAGTGCTTTTCGAGTGCCACTTCAGAGGAGTTTTGAACCTCAAAACTTATCATGTGCTATCCAAACCATGACTCTATGATATTCTAGTGGTATGTGGGTTTCCAGGTGTATTCCCAGATGAATTACCTGGTTTACCACCTGATAGAGATGTGTTATTTAGAATTGAGCTAGTGCTGGGTATAGCACCTATCTCTAGAAGACCCTACAGGATGCCACCAAATAAGCTAGCCAAACTTAAAATTCAGCTACAAGAACTCACTACTAAATTTTGACCCTATTGCATCGCTTCGCCTTGCATCAAACGCAAATCAGATGCAATAGGTGGCTGCTATTGCATCAATTTTGCAAATCTGATGCAATAGGTGGTCATTATTGCATCGAGAAGGAATTGGATGCGATAGTAATTTATGTCAATGCAATAGGTATGATCTATCGCACCGATTTCGAACAAGAGATGCAATAAGTAGAATTTATTGCATCGGAAAAATTTGATTGCGTTACTATTGATTTTTGATGCAATATGTAGGTGGTATTGCATCGGTTTAGAATATGGGTGCAATTAGGAAATACTATTGCAACAGATTGATAGTGTTAAATTCCGATGCAATATTTAATTTTTGTTGCATCGGTTCAGGATTGTTTTGATGCGGTAAATTGTCACTATTGCATTGAAAGTTTTGCATTATAAGATGCTGAAACGTATCGATGGACCACAAGTGCCTTAAGGCCCAAGAGAAGGTTGACGTATCGATGGACCACAAGTGCCTTGAGGACAACGAAAAGGTCGACGCAAGCCTCTGAGCCCCGCGCCTCACTGTGTTGCACCACCCCCTAAGCATCAGCGTGCCCCCACATGTCGCTGACGACTAAGCCAGTGTGTGGCAACATCCCTCCATGGCTCCATCGCTGAAGACGTCCATGATCTTGACACTGCTAGGCTCAATATTCTCTATGTTGCCCGTAGGTAATAGTTGGACACCTTGAATCAAAGTTGCAACAGGTTGATTGTTAGGCACATGAGTGTAATAGTTGGATGCGCATGGATAAGGCGACAAGTGGCAAAAAGGATTAACTGATTTTCTTGAAAGCGCATTTGGGTGCACATTTGCAAAAAGTGAAAGATAACAATTCAATTTGCATACATCATATAATGTTGATAGAGCAATAATAGATAACTAGAAACAATAATTTTTAACTTCTTGGTCAACCTCAAGCAAAAATGATAGCTCATGGAAAATGGAATAAAAAACAACACCTCGACTAGAAAAAATAGTGCATTTGTTGGAAAAACAGTAAATTACACCAACTAAAAACACAATACAACAATTATTAAACCTGTCGTTGGGGAGGGTATGGGCACACCCGTACATGCCCATACCCACACCCATATGTTGCTTACTTGCATGTTCCCCTCCTCACTTTTGCTCATACCCAATTCCCCATATCCATTGGATAAATTGAGTATCCATTTTACTTTATCAAGGTACTGCTACAGCCAGGTTCCATACCGCACATCCACAGCCCTTGAATACACCATCACATGACCATGGAGCCGGAGATACGCTCATGAAATCACAGAACCATTGCTCAAGATGCAATGAGCATATACAATTAACGCATCATCATACAAAATATGACAAATAACTCAGTTCTAACTTAAACTCCATATAATGTTTCAAGTGATCCATAACACCAAAACTCGGATAATTTTAAAGGGTTCTCAAATAGACAGCTCAACCTGCTAACTCTCAACCTGAACACAACCCTTACAAGGACAGTTTAAGCTGAAGATAAAATCTAGCAGAAAAGCACGACCCTCCACACCTTGAAATTATCTGCATTGGATGAGACAGTATAAGAAGCAGATAAAAAGGGCCTTGTGTGGAGAACCAAATACTTCTTCTACAAGGGAAAAATAAGGTAAGGTAACTCTGGCACTTTGCTATGCTAAGCAACAGAATCCCACACAAAATACTGTTTTCAGAGATCAACCCAGAGCTGAGTCAAACAGCAGTCTGATAGGAATAACTCAGTTGCTGTACCTTATAATCTTTCAAGAAAAGCGTCAACTGATTGACCTTGTTGGTTTGTAGTTGGTGACAAAGTTGCAGTAGGAAATATGACCTCTGCTGCCATACTTGACTCATCTGTTTCAATCAAAAAAAAATAGCAAGTTCCCAAATCATTACAATATTATTTATTTAGGAAACGCAAAGCAGTATAGTACAATTTCAGAGGAATTGTATACCTGGAATGGCACTTCTCAACCGATCCTGTGTACACATTAAAGCCTCAACAGTTTCCGGGAGCAAGCTACGACGGTTGTCATCAATGATCAGCATGCTGTTTGGAACATTGGGCAGATTGGTAAATCATTTCATCCATCAACTTAAGTTGCAAGGATCCCTGGGTGAAAAAGGCACCCAACAGGAGATTTAAAGTGCGTTGAAAGCAAAATGTTAACTGAGTAATAAATTTCCTTGAGAGTAGTATACAAGTAAATGGTTACAAAGGTCTTAAAAATATTTGAAAAATTGGCACATCAAAGAGGGTTAATACCAGCCAATGATAACAGTTGAAGTAACACAAGCTTAACAAATTATATTTAACAACACTTCGATCATACAAAGCTACACTAAGCATTGATGCCAACCACACCATTCTAAAATTTCAAATGGTATGGTGGACTGCAAATCACTGAGATATACGATAGAATATCATGCACTTAGAAACAACTACAAGATCAAGATAGAAATGCAGAAAATTTCAAGTGATTCTTACACTTAAGTGCGTATATGAATTCTGCAGAGACAAGATACATGGGAAAATATTTCAGCCTGTACCATTGAAGAGAACATTACAGCACGAATTTCTTGCAAGTTACAGTACATAAATGTTTGGGAGAAAACTAAATGATGCCTATGGGATATGGAATCAAAAGCGGTTGGCTTGTTACTAGTACTACCTAACCAAAAGTCACAGCCCCTCAGGCCTCAACCGTGATGAATAAGCACGTTAAGCATTCTGTCAAACAGCTTGTGTGCGAACCTATGAAGGTACGGATTCTAGAAATGCTCTCACCTTGATGTGGTCCCATGGAGACTTTCTAGGTGCGGAGACGGATAGCAGAGGAGATGGATCGGAGAGGCTTCACCTCGCCACCGCATCCTTCATACCGTCCTCGTCGGGCTAGCCGCACCGCCGGCTCCATCGTCCTGCCCTCGTCGGGCTGCCAACAGAGCAACGACCCCGCCCTCGTTGCGCTGGTTGCGGGCCGCCTCCTTCGTCCCGCCGAGCCATCCCGCTCCTTCCTTTATCGACCTTTCCTCTCTCCTCTCTCTCTCTCTCTCTCTCTCTCTCTGGTGTGGTTGGGGGCGATTTGGGGACGGGGCCGGAGGCGGAGGCTAGATTTTTTTTTGCTTTCTGGACTGCGCGGGAACGGAGGAAGGGGACGAGGGCGATGGACGAAAAGGGCGGCAGGAGTCGGACGAAAACCACCGCGTATATATACAACTAATTTGGAGTTTACTAGCGTGAGTGCGTGACGGAGATGAATGCGGGAATTTGAGATTTCGCAAAACAACGCCGGAATTTGGAGTTTGTAATATGGCCACTGATGGTCTTGCAATATCTTTTTGAATCAATGAACTTACGATATTGGTCATCAAATTATCATTGTTTTATTTTGACGTGGTTAGATGAGTTACTGACATTTTTGTGCCTAAGCATTTCAAGAAAAAGTACCGCAGAGTAACTCGTAGCCTCAAAATAGGATCCCTACTTGATATTTGAGGCCCTTATTTTCTGAGCTACACTCTAGCAGAAGCCCTCAAAACAGGGCTTTACTCTCAATTTCCTCTATTTTCTCGTACATTATATGCATATGTATTTGAGATCATCACATTATATAACAATTTATTTAAACTATAACAATATAAAGCACTATACATAAAACTATAAATGGAAATCTTAGTATTCAAATTTAAAATCAAACAAAATTTTGGTCCAAAATTAATGATAGTCGATCACAACATAGTTCATAACATTTCTGCAAATCAAATGACTTAATCATGAAACATAAAGTCAGACAAAAGAAATAACTTGCACCATGTCATGCCCACGGATGCTCTATGTACAAGATTTGAAGGCTATGTATAAATCTAAATACAAAACAAATAAACTAATTTTGAATTCACTTTCGGATATCAAGATCCCAGGCATCCTCACTTCGTCCGATACAAATCCGAATACAAAACGAATAGCTGAACTAATAACCTAAATTATTCAAGCAAGATACTCCTGAGATATGGTTGTTCATGGGATGGGAACAACTTTCTTACATGTGACAGAATGAATAGAAATATGGAACATAAGAATTGAAAAGCTCATTTTTATTTATGAGTAATTACCTGTTTCAATCAGAAAGCTATAAGTTCATTCTAGGTGGGCATTTCAACATGGTGTCCACTACACTCACATTACTCATCAAATATCACATTGGGTGAGATTGAGAGTGCTGCATAGTTGATTTGCATCTTGTGGCACTAGTTGAGAGTGATGGCTTTGTTTTTTTCTTGTTACTCTTTGGCATGATTGTTGTCATCTAGCCGCCTTAGAGTTGATTGAGATTGTCGAGCACTACATGGTGATTGTGCCAGGGCTCCGATCAAGGTTGTGAGATACTAATGATCTTTTTATCTTTGTTATTTGCTTGTGCTTTTACATCCTTGTTATTTTCTTCTACGGTTGTATTGGTAGAAATAGCTAGTTTAGTTGCTTCACTAGTTTAGCTAGACTAGAGTAATATGTTAGCCTCTTTGTTTGATTGAGTGCTCTAGTAGTTGTTCAAGGCTTTCTAGTAGACTTGTGTAGGAGGCATGCATTGGGTGAATTAGGCTAGGCAAAGTAATGGCTATTAGGTTCTCATTTTGTACTAACTACTTTACTATAGTGTTGTGCAATTTGTAAAGAGATTTTCATATGCTATTCACCAAAACAAAAAATATACGTATAAGAATACTAAACAAATTGGATAAAAAATTAAATTGAGATAACATGTTGCTTTATTTCATAAGCACATGATTATAGTCAATTCCCATTAATTTTCTAAGATTGAAGGTGATTAGTAGTCAACTTTATGTTTTTTATATGACAATGTAATAAAATCTTAATTTGGTATGTTTGATTAAGAAAACTATTTAAATTTAATTATTTGGCACCTGAGGTTTGGTCTGTTAAAAACTATTTAAACAGTGATGGGGTCAATGTGGTACCTGAGGTTTGGTCTGTTAAAGATAAAATCAAGGAGTTTTCGGACACTTTCAGAAGTGGATCATGGGTAAACTTTCAGTCAATTTTTGAACTAATTAAACGTGGCAGAAACTTCAAGATTGACCGCTGGAACTGCTTGACTGCAGGTTGGAGCAACTGGAAAACCATTGACGAATGTTGTGTCAGTTGGAATAGGTGGTAGCTTTCTTGGCCCTCTATTTGTGCATACTGCGCTCCAGACTGGTAAACTATTGAGCTCTTCAGTTCTAGGTTTCCTAGAAACTTCTATGCTTTTTAAATTGACATGCCTAGAAAATATTGCCGATCTTCAGATCCAGAAGCAGCAGAATGTGCGAAAGGCCAACAACTGAGATTGTAAGTGTGTATTTTGAAGCAAGCTCATTATCATGTTTTAAGTGAGCATGCATCTATGTGATTATTTATAGCATCTCTTGTATGGAGCATTAGTTTGATGAAACGTGAATGGTTATCTTGTTTGTGTCTGTTGTACACGTGTCCCTGATGTGCTGACACCTATGCTTCCATGGTCTTCACATAATATTGCGTTGATGTTAATAAACTTAACTGAGTCTTAATTCAGACATCATTAATATCTGCTATACTTTTTAAGAGCTCTTTTTACTTGTTCTGAAAACTTCTATTTATGGACCTCTTTTAGTAGTGGAACAAAACAGAGGTCCCAGCCTCTACGCATTGTGTTGTTTACTGTGTTGTGTCTATGTTTCATATTATATACATGCATGCAATCTTTATGCTATTCATCTAGTAATTCATGTTCAATTTTTTATCAGCCTTGCAAATGTTGATCCAGTTGACGTTGCACGGAGCATTAAAGATTTAGATCCAGAAACCACTCTGGGTAATCACCTACCCTCACTTCAATATAGATTCTTTGTATGTTACTGATGAATATTTGCTGAAGATTTTTATATTTCTTGTCTAACAACTTGCAGTGGTGGTTGTATCAAAGACATTCACAACAGCTGAAACAATGTTAAATGCTCGAACTCTTAAGGAGTGGATCATTTCTTCTCTTGGGTTAGTTTAGTACCTGAAAATATTTTTTGACACGTCATCTCAACTTATTGTGATTTGAGTTATAAAAATCGTTCATTCAGGCCACAGGCTGTTGCAAAACATATGATTGCTGTCAATACTAATCTTAAGGTACTTCTGAACCTTCTATTGTGATTATTATACCTGTCTATTTAGCTTATCAGTTAATGCCTACCTCTTGCCTCACATCAACTTGTCTTTTTGTTGTCAAGAATATTAATTGGCTGATTTTGTTAGAGTTGCCTTTGGTATGCCAAGTTGTATTTCAGAAAATTGTTGACTTGAGAATAGCAGGCTGAACCTTAGCCAGTTGGAGCAGGAGCTCCAGCGTGCTCGCCAACAAGTATGATCGTCATGTACTCATCTTGTGTTCTTTGGATTCGACAAAATCTGCAGTTCCTGTTGAACAAACTGTTTTTTCAACGTTTTGCTACTTGTTCAGGGCATTTTTATTCCTACTCTGGGAGACCAGCCTCATTCAACTGGTGAAAATGGTAATTTACTGTTTTTTTGTGTGTCAAATGTTTAGATCACACTGGACAGTATCCTGAACTAAGCTGTTATCCATATTTCTAGGTGCTTTGGCATTTGACATGGACTATGTTCGATGGCAAGATGATCACATTAAGCAGATAAATGAACTGAGGGCTGCACTCAATGCACATGCCAATGACAATGATCTTCGGCATATTATCGATAGCTTCATGGCACATTACTACGAAGCTTTCAGGCTTAAGGGTGTAGCAGCCAAGGCAGACGCTATTCACGTGCCGTCAGGAACGTGGAAGGCCCCTGTCGAGAGGTGTTTTTATGTGGTTAGGTCGATTTTGACCGTCAGAGATTCTGAAGGTTTATGGTCTCTGCTCACTTGTTCTTATTAGGTCATGTGCTTCTGTCAAAGCTGAAAGGCTTTCCGGTTTTTTTACACAGTTGCTTGCAAGACATCTGGAACCCCTTACTGAACAGCATTAAAGTTGTGCATGAAGGTGCATGTTTGGCCAATATGTCATGTCAAATACTGAGTATTGATTTCAATTTTGTGTCAAGAGTGATATCATTGAATCCATGATAATAAAGCTCTCTTTGGCAAAGAGGTGGGTGTCCTGTGTAATTTTGGATCAAGATCTTTAGAAACTAAGTAGTGTGTAGGTAAACCATTTTTTGTTGTGTGATTTGTATTATCAAATGTCACCGTAGCGTTAACACGGGCATTATACTAGTATATTACTAATGTATGTCATTTTGACTTTTTCAGGAAGATCAACCTTGAGGGAGTCTTGGCAAGCTAAAATGAATCAAATATTGTGCAACGAGAAAGATGTCATGTTGATCTGTGCTAAGAGACATGTATTTTTGTTTATGATTGCCTATTTGTAGCATAAGTTAGTGGTTTGTAATGCAGTTCAACTTTGCAATTGCCTATTTGGAAATAGGAAGGCATTTGACTTCCTTACATTGTACAAACTATTGAATGCTTATGATCCAAGTTATTAATATGATTGCCTTTTTGTGCCATTGAATTTTGTAATTTTATGAATTTATGTGCAATGAATTTGATGCAATAATTGGTTGCCCTTCAAATCTCATGTCGATGCAATAGTTTGTATTGCATTCAAGCTCATGTCGATGTGATAGTTTGTATTACATCTAACCTCATGTCGATGCAATAGTTCGAATTGCATCGAATATAACGTCGATGCAATAGTTCCTATTGCATCGAACCAAAATGATGATGCAATAGAACCTCTTGCATCGAATCAAAATGGTGATGCAATAGATTATATAGCATCGAACCTAATATGGATGCAATATAGTCTATTGCATCGAACGATAGCCGTTGCAATAGATGTATTGCATCAACATGATTTGGATGCAATAAGCTATTGCATCTCTCAATTTTGATGCAAGAGACAACGGATGGACGATGCAATAGCTGCTTCTCGCATCAACCACAAGTAACCGATGCGAAAGGCTATTGCATCAAGACCACTTGCATCGGCTGGCATCAAACGAGAAATTGATGCGAAACCGAACTATTGCATCTATTTTAGACCTATAACATCAAAAATTGACTAGTGCAACAGGGTCAAAATTTAGTAGTGACTTTTGGACAAAGGTCTCATTCAACCAAGTTCATCCAAATGGGGTTGCTCAGCTTTATTTGTAAAGAAAAAGGACAAGTCATTACGGATGTGTGTGGATTATAGGCCACTCAATGCCGTGACGATTAAAAACAAGTACCCTTAACCATGTATCGATATTTTGTTCGATCAGTTGGCAAGGGCAAAGGTATTCTCCAAGATTGATTTGTGATTAGGCTATCATGAGATTAAAATTAGGCCCAAGGATATACCTAAAATAGCTTTCTCAACCAAATATGACTTGTATGAGTATCTTGTCATGTGTTTTGGTCTAACAAATGCTCCTGCATACTTCATGTATTTGATGAATTCGGTATTCATGCCCAAACTCGACAAGTTCATGGTTGTGTTTATTGATGATATTTTGGTTTACTCTGAGAATGAGGGAGATCACGCAGAGCATCTAAGGATTGTCCTAACTAGACTGAAAGAACATAAGTTGTATGCCAAGTTTAGCAAATGTGAATTTTCGTTACAGAAAGTGCCTTTTTCTAGGTCAGAGAATGGAATCTCTATAGATCCAACTAAGGTGCAAGAGGTCATGGATTCAAAGGCCCTAACTTTGACTCATGAAGTTCAGAGTTTTCTAAGGTTAGCAGGCTACTATCGTCGCTTCATTCTAAATTTCTCCAAGATAGCCAAACCCATGACGAGATTACTTCAGAAGGATGAGAAATTTGTTTGGACCCTGGATTGTGAGGCTGCTTTTCACACTCTATGGACGTTGCTGACTACCACTCCTGTCTTAGCACAACCCGATATAGAGAAACCTTTTGATGTGCTTTGTGATGCATCTGGTACAGGTTTGGGGTGTGTTCTAATGCAGGAAGTCCGAGTCATTGCTTATGCCTCACATCAACTAAGGAAGCACGAGGTTAATTATTCGACCCATGACTTGGAGTTAGCAACAGTTGTTCATGCACCGAAGATCTAGAGGCACTATTTGCTTGGAAATGTTTGCCATATCTATACAGATCATAAGAGTCTCAAGTATATTTACACTCAACCTGAATTAAACATGAGACAGAGAAGATGGCTAGAGTTGATCAAGGACTACAACTTAGAGGTGCATTATCATCCTAGCAAGGCAAATGTGGTTGCAGACGCCTTAAGCCCCAAGCCTCATTATAATTCCTTGGAAGCACTATTGGAAGATGGATTTACTCTCTTACATCCTGCTGTGTTACACAATATTACTGTTAGTTGCTCACTTGAGAGCAAGATCATCGAAATTCAGAAGACCGATGTAGGTGTGTTTCACATCAAGAGAAAGATGAAGGAGAAGGAAACCAAGCAGTGTAGACTAGATGAGAGAGGTGTGCTATGGTTTAAGGAATGACTTGTGGTACCGAAGGATCATGGACTTAGAAACCAAATCTTGGATGAAGCTCACTCTTCCAAGTTGTCTATCCATCCTGGTAGTAGCAAAATGTATCAAGATGTGAAAACACGTTTTTGGTGGACAAAGATGAAGAAGGAAATTGCAGCCCATGTTGTTAGGTGTGATACCTATAGCAGGGTTAAGGCAGATCATCTGAAACCAACTGGACTACTCCAACCTCTGTCTATTCCAGGTTAGAAGTGGGAGGAGATCAGCATGGATTTTATTGTTGGACTTCCACCCACTCAAAAGGGTTTTGACTCCATATGGGTAATTGTGGACTGTTTGACCAAGTCTAGACACTTCATTCTGGTCAGGACCAATTATCGACCGCATCAGTATGCAGAACCATATATAGCTCAGATAGTACGTTTGCATGGGGTACCAAGAACCATCATGTCAGATAGGGGATCTTAGTTTATTGCTCGTTTTGGGGATCACTTGCATAAACAGTTAGGCACCAACTTAGTCCAGAGTTTCGCCTATCACCCTCAGATGTCGAGACAGACTGAGCGAGTAAATCAAATCTTAGAAGACGTACTGAGGGCATGTGTGATCCCTTCGAAAGGTTCATGGGAAAAATGGCTACCTCTAGCTGAATTTTCCTATAACAACAGTTATCAAGAAAGCATCAAGATGGCTGCTTTCGAAGCCTTGTATGGTTGAAAATGTAGAACTCCTTTAAATTGGGTTGAACCTGGGGAGAGGAGGTATTATGGAATTGATTTTGTCAAAGAAGCTAAAGAGCAAGTTCATATTATCCAACAACATATTGAAGCCGCTCAATCTAGGCAAAAGAGCTATGCTGACAAAAGAAGAAGACCTATTGAGTTCGAGGTAGGTGACTATGTATACTTGAAGGTATCACCAATGTAAGGAGTACAAAGGTTTGGTGTAAACAGAAAACTTGCAAATAGGTATGTAGGTCCATACAAAATCATTGAGGGAAGTGGAAGAGTGGCCTACAAACTGTAGTTACCTCAAGAGATGAGAGCTATTTTCAATGTCTTTCATGTTTCTCAGCTGAGAAAGCGTTTGTGTTCTTGAAGAAAGAGTCAAAATGAGAAATATCAAGGTAGAATCAGACCTAGCTTATGAAGAGAAGCCAGTACAACTATTGGATAGTAAAGAGAGAGTAACTCGGAACCGAGTTATTAAGTTCCACAAAGTAAAGTGGAGTAACCACAGTGAACAAGATGCAACATGGGAAAGAGAGGATTATCTACGTGAAGTTTACCCCAAATTTGATGAAAAAGGGCAGGTCATTCAAATCTCGCGATGAGATTTCTATAAAGGGGGAGGGGCTATAACACCCCAGTGTTCAGCTTGCATTTTGCACTTGCATTGCATGAGCATAAGCATCATCCATTCATTCATTAGAATGAGCACATGAAATTGCACTCCATTCACTCTATGTTTATCACATGTGATGCTTAATTATACATGTATATGCTTGTGATCATGCTTCGCTAATGCAAGTGATTGTTGGTTGGTCACTAAAACACCTTAGACATACTTAGGATGGAAAATGGAACCAAGTTTATATTCATGAGTTTGTCCAAAAATGCTTCTAAGTGTAGGTATCACTAGAAATGTCTTTATTAAGTTTATTGTTTGACCTAACTTGACTAATTACTTAGAAAGCTTGCATGTCAGTGGGCCCTAAATAAAAGTTGTAGTTCATGTCATGTAGAACAAACTTTGTTTAAGGGCCAAGAGCTAAATTAGTGCCTAAGTTGGTCAAACAGGGCTCCCAAAATCGAACTTAATGCTGGTTTAAAAACTCAGAAAATTTTCTAACTGTTTACAGTTTTCATGTACCCACTTTTGACGATTTTTAGTTTGGAAACCAGCTTGAATTAGACCAAACTCCTTTAAGCAATTTTGTAGTACTCACATAGCTTTACACAATGGTGAAAATGGTTGATCAAAACTCGCCATGGTTTGGGACATCTAGGGGTGTAAAGTCGCGCTGTCAGACAACCTGAATCGGCACTTAGCCGATTTCAAACCGGCCGGCAGTGGCCAACCGTATGCAGGCCACACGAGTCACATGGAGGCCGTATGCCAGCACCGGCCCCGTTCGTCAGGCCAGGGAGGGGAGAAAGATGCCGCATCGCTGCTGCTCGCCCACCCTCGCCCTCACTCGCTCTCTCTTTCTCTCGCACGCGCCCACCGAGTGAAGAAAGCGTAGCGCTGCCGCCGTCGCGTCGTTGCCGGCCTCGCTAGCAGCCACCGCAGCACCACCGCTCGATTCAATTTGCCTGCAGCTCCACAGCGATGCCCTATACATCATCAACCCGCTAACAGCCCCAGTCAAACACAGGTGAGGCCCCATTGTGCCATCGCCGTAGTCGCC